TTTTTTACGAATTATTTTCAACCATTTTGAATTTAACAAAAGAAAAAATTTTTTTTACCTGCGAGAAACATAAAAACTATTTTTAGTTTGGTTATTTTAAGACTTCCATCATTTTATTTTAAATCAATCATAATACGTTCTTTTTTTTGTTGTTAAATTTTATTATTATTATTATGTGGGTTTTTTTAAATTTAGTTTAAGTTAATATTTAGGAATAAAAAATTTTTTTTAGTTTATTTAATTTGTGTATAATTTATAATTGTGATGATCGAGTACTTGCATCGTATTTTAAATAAAATAATTTTTATTTTATTTTAATTTATTAAATTATATATATTAATTTATCATTATTGCGCATATAAAATTATTATTATTATTATTTAACAATTGAGTCATTTTTATCAAATATTTACCGGAAATTTGGTTGTTTTTTTTTTTAAAGATATCCTAAATAAAATTTTAAAAAATTTAAATTTTCAAAAATAATTATAATATAAATAATTAATTAAATTTAATCTAAAATCCATTAGGCAACAGTGCGTGTGTGAGTGCGTGAATTTAAAGTTTTTCCTACGGGAAGATAAAAACATAAAAACAACTTTGTCATGTTCGCATTATGTTAATTTTATTTATTTATTTTTTCACGTGTGAGTTTATGTGTGTGTGTGTGTTATTGACTAAAATTTTTTTTTTTTTTATCTGCCAAATGTTTTCTTTTAAGAAACAAAAAAAAAAAAAAATAAATAAACACTTGTAGATTATAAATTAAATAATAATAATAATAATATCCCGCATTTTTTTTTTTTTTTAAAGAGTGTATTTGCAAAATATTATCATACATTATGTAGGGACCTTAATAATAATAATAATAATAATAACTTTTGCACTTCGAACGAGTGTGCATCTAACAAATGTTTGGTTTTTATTATTTACCTCACGAGTAAAAATAAAATACAAAGAAATTTTTTTTTTTTTTTATATAAATCGTACTAAAACCTAAACATTATTGACTATCAGTGTTTAATTAAGAGTGTTATCAGAAGATAAAATACTAATTATTAAGACATTTTGAAAAAAAAAAAAATTTATGAACTTTGAAATTATATTTTTTGTAATTGCGATCGCCTTAAAAAAGTTGATTATGGAATTATTTTATTATTTTACATAAAGAAAAGAGGGAGGGGGGGGAGGAAAAATCTGTGTGTGTAAAACGCCCCGTCCGTGTTCGAGCTTAGTCTATAAAAAAAATAAATAAATAAATAATAATAATAATAATTTAATAATTTACGAACGGAAAATTTCCTTTTCGTTTGTTTGCGTTCGACTCGATTGATAAGGTTTTTTTTTTATCAGCTGACATTTTAAAAATTAAAAAAACTTTTAATTCTTATAAATAATTTAAAATTTTCTTGTTATTGATTGACAATAAATTTTTTTTTGTTAATTTTCGTTTGTTTCGAGTATTTTTAAAGAATAGTATAGAAATATAAAATTTAAAAAAAAAATTTATTTTGGGGTGTTGCTAGGAAACAGTAGGGAAGAGGGTAAAAACGATTTTTACTGAGGGTAAAAAAAATTTTTTCATTTCCTACATTAAAATGCCATCATCATCATCATCATTTTATTAATTTAAAAAATAAAATATTATTATTAATATTAGATAACAATAAATAAAATTTTTTTATTCATTCATGACATGCGTTTGTATTGTTTTGTGTGTCAGAGACATGATTGAAATTATAATTTAAAAATACATTATATTTATATATTATTATTATTATTATTATTATTATTATTATTATTATTATATACTTTAGCGAAAAAAAAATAAACAGGTAAACGTCCGGTGAAATTAAATTTGTGAAAAGAAAAAGTTTGACCTAAATTATTTTAATTCGATTGTAATTATAATGTTTTAGCGTAACAAATTTTTTTTTTTTTTTGTTACCATGCAAATTAATGAAAATTAAAACCTGATTTTTAAAATTAAGCAATTCGTGGGGAGTCATTGTATACTAATTAATAATAATAATAATAAGTACGATGTATTAATGAATGAAAATGTTTACTTAATTGTTTTTTTTTTTTTTTTTTTTTTTACGACAGGTATGATAGTAAATTAAAAAAGTAAAACATGCGAAAATCATTTTTGTTTGCTTTGAGCTACACAATTTTATTTAAATTATCATCCGTTAATTCATTCGATGGATTTTTTTCTCCATCACGAAATGCCGAAGTAAAATCAAAAAGATGTACATACATGAGAACTCATGGAATGTTGGCTGTGGATTGTTATGCATTAGGATTAACTAATATTCCATCAGTTCTTAGATCAAACATTGAGGTATATACACATGGAAATGTTTTTCCAGAAAATCTTTTTACTACTTACTAAATAAATTAATATTTTTCACTTTTTTTTTTCCAGGTTTTAGACGTTACATACAACAGAATTAGAGAAATATTCAATTCATCATTTGTTAATTATTCATTTTTAAGAATATTGTATTTATCTGATAATAGTATTTCTTATATTGAATCTGGAGCATTTGAACCTCTCGAAGATTTAGAAGTAAGTTTTTTTATTTATTATTTAAATTGAATATAAAAAATCGTTTTAATGTTAACTCTTCCATTTTTTTTCAGGTTTTGGATTTGACATTAAATTCTTTGCATTCCGTTCCTGATGCATTTGCGAGTCTTCCAGTACTTAGAAAACTCATGATTGGAAGCAATCCGTTTGTCGATGTTGTTTTCGACAAAGTCCTACCTTCCATACAATATTTATCCGTTAGTAATTGTAAATTAAAACGTTTTCCCAATTTTACATCACTTCCCGGATTACTTCAATTAAACATGTCTGACAATCAAATTCAGGTTTGTCGTTTTCGTTAAAATATCGTAATTTTTTTTTTTTTTTGCAAGGCTATTATTGAGATTTGATTTTTTTTTTTTTTTAGTCCATAGACCTTCGTAACGTGTCTCCCATGTGTCGTCTTCAACTTCTCGATCTTCGGGGTAATCCTCGTCTTTTCAAACAAGAATATTGCAACTGTCAACTCCTTTTGGCGTGGATAAAAAGACGTCAAGGAGAGAATTTCAAACTTTTCCCCGAACCTGATTTTATTTGTAAAAATTCTACCGAAGGGAAAATCCTCAACGTCGATCCGGAAATGTGTAACGGAAATGAAACTCAAACGCTACTGGAAGAAAGCGACCTTGTTGCCAAATCGTGTGAAACTGAAGTCATGAAATATGGATCTGGACCACTCAGATTAAAAGGATCCGTTACGTGGATGTTGGTTGCCGCGGGTGTTAGCGCTTTTATTCTTCTTTTGTTTTTCGGTTTGTATTGTATAAGAAAAAGGCACGAAATGAAAGAATCAGAATCAGAGAGATCGAATGTTCGGGAAAAATGTTGGAGGACTTGACATCGTATATGCAACGTTTGTAGCTTCATAATAGAATGCT